TTCCCTGAAAATTTCAGCCTTCCAGCTTTTCTGGTATCCGAATTAGTAATTTTCCCCCTAAGACTTGCAAGCGGGGTGTGGGTTAGTATTTCGTCTCATTTAAGAACAGTGGATAACAAATTAAAATCACGAAGTTTCAAGTTCACAATTTTTTTGCCCTCCAGCTGTAACAGCACGAATTTAGGCTTGAAATCAGAATAGAACAAGAAATATGGGCTGATTTCGGGCCGCATTTCTTACTGTATTCTGATTTCAGGTGTAAATTTTTGATCCTTGAGCTATAGAACTTGTCTGAATTTAAGTCAAGGGCCAAAGTCCTTGGTTCTTAAAGTTAGCTTTCAAATTTTTTACCCTCCGTGCAATATATTCAAATTTTTAAGCCTGTGACTATTTTGGTTTTTAGAGTTGTAAAATTTGATCGAGTTGGATCCTATATTAAGAGTTAGGACGCAGAGCAACCTAGTAATTGCTCTCCTCCTCGAGGCTTCCTGAATGATGAGACTTGTCCACAAAATTTCAGCTCTCTAGCTTTCCTATATTCTGATTTGCAATATGCAGTCAAAACAACATGCACTTCACAATGGCTTCGCTTTAATGCGTTTTTGCGGAGTTGATGCAGTGTACGAGCATGTATAAATAGTGCTTGGATACAGTAGCTTAGGAAAACAAAGTCTAGCCCAATTGCTGTTGACATCTGCTTGCGTTATCTGTGACATCAGATGTCGCATACTTACCGTATGTGCCCATGCATTTCCACATCCTGATCACTAATGGGTTTCATGTATTTCTGCCTTATTTCTATCATATTTGGCGATGCACTGTTTTTTACGTGCGTTCGCTGATCGGGCGGACGGCAGATTGTAGCTTGCAAACGGCAATATTAATTGTCATTGCACTGTTTCTGGTCTAACATAAACTTTTTGGAGAAATTTTTAGTCCAGCAAGAAGTAGCCGAAAGCTTTCATTGTTGATCAGAACTCCACAGACTCTGATGCTTTTTTTTCCCAACCGAATAAAACCATCTGTCAAGGATGTGGAAAACTCTAAATATTTCCGGAATGCGTTTACCTCAGTTCACGGTTCTTTGCGTTAGGAAGATAAAGTGGCAATGTTTTTAGAATTAGTCTCGCAAACGCTAACAGGGGAAGTTCGTAGAAGTTTTTTTTTCAGAATTATAAGCAAGTTTTTTTTCATGGAGTCTATTTTTATTGTTACAGGGAGGAGAGCCCATTACCTTTCCTGCAGTCAAACAGCATCGGAGCAGGACGGTGACTCAACACTTTTTCCCCATTAGAATTTGCTAAAAATCATCAAGATTAGATAAGATTTTGCACAGAGAAGGTTTAGAGTCAATCGGGCGGGCATCGTATTCATTTCAGATGTAATCCGCTGCGCGAAAGTTTGTACCGTACCCAACGATGTTAAATACAGGCAGTGAGTTAATCGGTAAATGTGATGCAGACTGGAGTACTCTTGCCATTCAGTCGATGCATTATCCCCCAAAAGCTACACACACATTATGTTGACAGTTCTTTTGCAGTGCCATGACCAACCACCGTTTGGTGGGTGACAAAAAGTGAAGTGAAAATGTAGAAGCTAAAAAATTGCAGGCCTCACGAATCAAAGTGTTGGATCCGGTATTTGTGCCCGTTGAGGCGACCTCTGACGGACGCCAACTGCTGCATCGTTACTACGAGTTTGTCCTTAGTTTTGCAGAATCAGTCAGCTGTTAGAGCTAGTGCAGGAAATCTTTTCTCCTCATATTTCTTAAAATACTTCCAGGAACGAAGATGAAGTGGCTGGTGCGCAGTCAACGAGTAATTCGAGTAGTGCAGGCCTGGAGGATGATTATGAGTTGGTTGACCCTGTAGACATAATTGCTATAGGGAATGATGATGACGACGACGATATCCAAAAAGCATTAAGAAAGCTGGAAGAATCCAGAAACATGCTTGATGAGCCCGTTGTTTTAAGCACTTCTGTGAGTGATGAATTAATTGAGCAAGCATCAGATAGAAGACAACAGATTGTAACGGGCGGTAGCTGAAAAAAATGACGCTGATGCTTATCCAAGTTTCTTCTATTTTTTAAGGTTGGACTCTTAAAAGGGTTTTTTTTCGTAATGCCCTTGTCAAAGCTGAAGTACATGCGTAGGGCCCTGTCCAATTAATTCCCATGTTTTAGAGGTATAAGAAATAAATAAAAACAATATAAAAGTATAATTAAACAGCTAAACAAAGATGCTTCATTCCTTGAAGTCGTATCATTTCTGTTGAACACCACAACTGGACCTCCTCAATACGACGAAAAGTTGTGGCTTTAAACGATTTTAATTACGATATATTTAAAATACAGTCGAAAAAAAAATGAAAAAAATTATGGGACAATTTAGAGACGCATAATTTTGGCAAAAAAAGAATTTATTTCTTCGCTAAAATTGTACGCCAGTTAAAGCAACGCTGAAATGGAAAATAAATAATTGGCCAGCGCACGGGCTGCCCGTGCAAAGATGCGTTTTTTGCATAGCTCCCCGCAGTTTTTGTTGCTACCGGCACCGGCTTTTTCGGCAAATAATTCTAACTAAACAAATTAAGACTGGCGGCCAGAATTGTCAGGAAACACCCCCTTAAAATTTCAGCTTTTTAGCTTCCCTGGCTCCTGAGTTAGCAACTTACTAGAAAAAAATTTTTACGGGCCCGAGCGTGTTTGCCACACATACTCGAGAGTTGGGTTTGAGCTGAACGGAACTTAGGTGGACGGGATATATCCTCTTAAAATTACAATCCTTCAACTTCTTAGGTACTCGAATTACCAACTTACCCGAAAAAAATTTTGGCGGTCCCGTATGCGCATACCACTCTTATTCGGGGGCTAGGTTTGAGTTCACTAATACCCGCTTGGACGTGGAACATCAGCCTAAGATTTCAGCTTTCCAGCATCTCAGATCCCCGAGTTATAAACTTACCCGAGAAAAATTTTGGCGGGCCCGTACGCGGGTACCATACTTACCCGGAGGCTGGGATTGACCTCATTAATACCTACTTGGGCGGGGAACATCCCCTTAAAATTTCACCTTACTAACATATCAGATCCCCGAGTTATGAACTTACCCGGGAAAGATTTTGGCGGGCTCGTACGCGGGTGCCACACTTATTCGGGGGCTGGGTTTGAGCTCATTGATACCTATTTGGACGGGAAAAATCTCCTTAAAATTTCAGCTTCCTAGCATCTCAGATTCCCGAGTTATGAACTTACCCGGGGAGAATTTTGGCGGGCCCATACGCGGGTACCACACTTACCCGCAGGCTGGCTTTCACCTCATTAATACCTACTTGGATGGGGAACATCTTAAAATTTCAGCCTTCCAGCTTTTCTGGTTCGCGAGTTATCAACTTACCCGAGAAAAATTTTGG